GTGGGTGGGGGAACGGATCCAGGGTAGTTCGTATGTAATGATGCACGAGAATAGCAAGCGTGAAACAGCGAGAGTTCAAGAACGATAAGGGTAGATGGCGCACAAATGAATGGGACAAGGAACGCTTAGAGGCCGTATGTGAACAATAACAACAAAGTATAAAGTATTTCATCGGATCAAAGTCGGGGCATGATGATGGGCAAAGGTCAAAGGTCATCTGTGCCATGGGACATATGGGTGTACAGTTAATCGAACCGAACCGGAGCAAAACCTGTGGCGTGACTAATTTCTCCAATCAGGTTGATACAGCGCGATTTTTCTGTCTTTCACATGCCTTGAACCGCACAGGGCCTGTTTTCTGTGAGAAATCGAATGAGCTAATCCCGCCCCCCGGCCCCCCCAAACAAAAAAGTTACCGTCTAGAAAAACAGGATGTTTATGTGGAATAATGGACGACCAAGAGAGATGTGAAAATTATCATCAGTCTTGGAAGAACTTATTTTGATCGGACAAATTGGCTCCATCGATGCAGTTCAGTGATAAAAATCAGACCAGTTGTTGCAAAAACAGGGAACTACACCTCACCAGGATGTTTGGTTGTACCACACTACAACAGGATGCTTTAATTGCGGTCCGGTGTTCCAAGCTCCTCCTTAATCAGGTTCCAATGGATCTCATTTTTGTCGTTGAAATGGGTCGAGACAAAGTATACCACACTGGAAGCATTCAAGATGTTCCAGGTCAGACAAAAGCCAAGCAATCAGTCATCGATCGAATCTGAAAAACACAGAGACTGGCGAACTGAAACGGAACTAAACAGTGCGCAGAATGTGAACGGAATGGGAGTCTGTAGTGATCCAGGCCTAGGAGATGACGCGTACCCAGGAGCAGCGCGTTACAGTTTTTGGACAACTGCGCTCAATCACACTTCACCGAGGACGTGAACAACGCACCTACGTGTCACTGCTTCTGGACTATATGCCATAGGTAGATCGTACCAGGCAATCACAGACCGTGCGGCCCAGACAGAGGCAGCACGATGCAAGCAATACTGGAACGCGATTGGTAGAAGCTCGGATAGCCAATGAGTTTGTTTTGTAGATATTATTTAATCTCCCTTATTTATTCCAAAAAGTGAACTGCTTCTCCTGTGACCTTTTCCTCGTGCAACGATTACATGGGACATTGCATGCTAGTACCAGTGCGGTCCAGTGCTTACGTGATCCAGTCCGTGATTGCTAATCCTTGGTTCGTATTCCGTGATCTGTATTGCGCGGTTCGTATTCTGAGTTCAGTGCGTATTACTACTTATAGTACAATCATTACAAAGTTGTCATGTCAAGTGACTACAGACAGAAACACTGTCCGCTTTCTGCAAAGAATATCTACTCAGAGAGTTGGTTGTTTTGAACACACCGTTTCGCTGTTGAGAAGAGCATAAAGTTCGTTTGATCGATTGACGCTATTATGACACCATGGCGAGTACAAATTCAAATTTGTCTCACTTTTCAATTGTACAAATCGTTATAGGATAATTGTTGTTGATTGATTAGAACTGACTATTTCTACGGGGCTTCATCTTCCCATGAACTGGCAAATCGTTTCAATCCCAATTTGAGCTGGTTGGTACAGTGGTAACACACACACACACACACACACACACCTTCCATGTCCGATGGGTCCGGAGTTCAAATCGCGGACGGGAGGGGGCGGTGAATATGCACTACTGATGATGAGCTCTAAGGAGAGAGAGAGAAACTCTAGTCGATAGTGCTTCCACGAGTGTGTATGGTTGACTGGATGCACTGTGAATTGTGCGTGAAAGTGAAGTCTGAAGGATGGTCAATTCTAATTAATTAATCAAATTCAAATGTCGGTCCCGATCAATGAATACAAGTTTATTTAGATTTAGATTTAAGCAAACAATCGCATACTCGAAAGTGTGGATCATTTGTTCTTTTTTCCTTTTCATTGAATAACTTTCAAAAGTACCCGTGTAAATCTAATTGACAACTGGCTGGAATGATTCGATCACCAATATTGTCAGATTTCCAAACACATTTATTACATACATGCCTGACTCATGAAAGTTTAATTTTTTTCAACCAACTATTACTCCCCCGGGAACCGGCTTCCTTCAATTAATGGGACACATTTATATGTATATTAATCGTGGTGTCTTTTACTACACACCATACTCTCTCCTTACTTTTTTCTATGTATAAACAAAATCTCCACCTTTCCCGTAACTTCCTTGCTTGTAAATATATCGATGTTATAGCAACTGTTTGCCCATCCCCTGGTCTATAAGTAGTTTTCACCATATACAGAACAGCGTTACTGAACTTCACCATTGGTCTGTGCCCCAATCTACTGTACTTAGTATCAATAAGTCCGCGGATGCTACCTTTAGCCTTAAAATCGGCCCCTTTATCTTTCACTGGTAAGTAATCTCCCTGACGTAATTGGTAACAGTCAAAGTATCCCCACATCGGATTTCATTAAAGACCTCGGTATCACCCTCCTCCATAACCTGTCCTGATCCGCTCATGGTACTAGTGTTTTTACACAACATTTAAGAGTGTTCTTTTGTGCACAAAAAACCAGGAACCTTACGATTTTATATAACCTGATTTTAAAATTGGCTGCATCCGTCCGCAATGGTTGAACTGCTATCCGATTCTTGTACTTAGTTCAAAAGAAAAAGGTTTGACCTTGTTCTCCGGACAAATTAGATTTTTGCCTCGATATAGAAGAATCGATCGATTCACTTTCGTGGATTTGTTTGTTTTTAGGTATTTCAATGCGCGTGATAGGTTTAATGATACTTGATCAAGGACACTATCTGCACCGATGATAAATCGAGGAATCCCTGTCAAATTGCCAAATCCGCTCCAAATATCAAATCCTCACCGCACATAGTTTCAAAATACACAGAAACAGTGTAATTCCATACTTTTCTCAGCTATTGATTGGTTAAGGCAACACTCTTGAATTAGAAATTTATAAATAGAGTCTCATTGTACTCAGTGACCTTTTTGGTCAAAACATCAGTCATGAACTATGAACTCACACATACCCAAACCAACTCTCACATTCAGGCTGAACGGTACAACCGGAAAAGTACACACAGTAGCATCACCAGCTACGGCGGTCCCATATTTCGTGCGTATCAGATGAATCTGTCCGAATGGGAACAGGGTTTGGACGATCAGCTGGTCGCAATCGATCGCAGTGGTCATCCGATATACGAACTGATCACGGGAAGATCAATGCCCGAGTTATCGGAACAATTGGTTCTACGTTTGAGCAAAACCATCAAATCAGCAGTGCAGAGATATTACAAATCAAACGCGGTTATTGGTAAGTTTGCTCTAAACAGGTTTAAAAATTGTGGAATGATGACCCCGCACATTTTTCGCATTCTACGCGCAGTTACTTGTGAGTAGTGATGTGTGATAATCGACATTGATTTGAACTGACTATCAAATCCGTTTGGATTAGTCACAACGAGCGAAAACTAATGAAAGAAAAAACAATTTTCCGATTGACGACGTTTTGATTCTCCTAGAAGGCCTTTTTCAAGTCAATCAATAAGCGACAATGTCATATGTATTCCATTTTTGTTTGGGGTCCAGATTGTGTCAAACAAGCCCTGGCCGTAGTAAAACTATCAATTCATGTTCTTCCATGTGGACACCAAACAGCCAACGTGCCCACGTTACTTCCGGATTCTTTGACTAGCCGAACAATGAACTGGGATGCTCCAGCGCAGGGAAGGGGAGAGGGGACAAAGGTTACTGCCTTTCGGAGATTGGTATCTACCCGTGCTACGTGATGTATACGTCTAGGCTATTCAGGCGAGCCAATGACCATTGTGACACGAGTATCCACCTTGCCAATACGAATGACTCGGACAGAATAAGAATTTCATAGTTTGATTGAAAACAAACGTATTATTCCCGTCGCCAATATCTTTTAGACCGAATTCCAACCGCGACGCTATGCGCAGTATTTTTATAAGGTTCAAGAATTCAAAACATGCGAGAGAGAGAGTGCTGATCAGAACCTGTTTGACAATTTGATGAAAGGTCGTGAGAATGCATCAATCGATTAAACGATGAACTGAAACTAGGTCAAGCTGGCACACGGATAAAACGGATTGGAAGGATATTGGTCAGAGTCTGTCATGAACAACCGTGTCACGTGATTGGACTAGCAACGGGAACTGATAGACGAATGTGTACGTCGCAAAACGGTAATATTTTATCTTATGGCATCACTTTGATTGACTGCTCCCCCTCCTGAAAACTTTATCTTTTTATAATCAATAAAAAGGATTATAGGAATTAAAAAGAAAAATCTGCTAGTTTATGGATCATCGGGGACCAGAACATAGTTAACACTGGAACGTCATGACCTTTGAGGACGAAGCTCCACTACCAGAACTGCTTTAATTCTTCCAACAGACACACGGTTTCATGATCGGAGTTGAGTGCAATAAACCTTCGGGGACCTAAACAGATAAATGGGTCAGTACTGGCGTCCAATCCCAAATGACTCGATGTAGTTGCACCACACGTGTGATCGAACTGAGAGTATTTTTGAGGCAACTGTTCGCAAACCAAGCAAAACGAAAGTATAGGATGGGCGGGGTGGGGCGAGATCGATTGGGTCTCTGGCTATGTTTATCTGTCTGGTTTACGGTTGAAACTGTTCTACCTCATTCGGGTGACACGGCTCTACAGATGCCTTCAGGAGACAATCACTGGTTTGCGGTAAGCTTATGGAGTTTATGGAAAGACTAATTCGAGATACAAGTGTTGTCGCATCATAATGCACACACACACACATACACACACACACACGCACACCAATTAAACATCACCTAATCAACAGAACACTCTCTGCGAACTTGGGGATAACGACTGGTTTATCCGTGTGTGTGTGTGCTCGACGGAGAGTGATTTGCGATTCTATTACAGCGTACACATTCATAATTTTGCTTCCGAAAATTGAATGGTTGTTGCCCTTTTTAGATTGCGTGTCACTAAATATCCGATAAGCGCGGTAACAAGTTCTGAATATCAGTTAATGATAGGTCAAAGTAAGCGTGAAATATGATTCCTTAGTCGGGTATCGGTGACGGTTATTCACCGACTGAGGAGTCAATGTGTTACCAGCGACGAGTTTGGCAAGCTGGTGTGAATGTCAGTTGCAAGCAATGTGCTCCCTACTGGATTCAGATTCCCCGGGACCACAAACAAACAGTAAATCATTGTCGTGAAAGAATGTGCCTTCTTCTCGAACAGTACGAACCGGCAACTTGTTTTTTCGTAGACCACACAACCCACATTAAAAGTGAGCATCTCTTTTGTGCACAGTGCATAGAAACCTGAACGATAAGAATAAGTACTTCTGCTCTCTAACCGGAACGAATTCGAAGTGTGCATCACCGAAACACGCGAAAGGTGTGTACCGGTGAGAATGCAAGTCAACACGCTGCTGTTTGGATTAGCTGGTGTTGGTGCTTACTTAATTATGCAACACGAGCGACTTTGTATGTCGAGAAAGTTATGAATATGCTAATCACCGTTGTATCGACTGCTAGTCTCAACTCGGCCGATCTGCTGCATCCGACCAAGAAAGGAATACTAGGACTGTACAAAACAGTTTCCGGATGCACCAAAAGTTTTATGTCTTACAAAAGAATAAGCATTACATTTTCTCTTAATATGCTCCACCACTATTCATTCAAACATAAGCACACACACACACATAGTTCCATGCGCTCAAATCATTAAGGTGAAATAGCTCGACTATGCCGACCGAAGCGAGTAACCGCCCTTCGAC